GATGTTGATTTTATATGCATCTATTTTTAGAACAGATTGAGTATTTCATAACAATTAGACATTTCTCTAATCTTATTGCAAGGTTTGAATATAATTTTGAAGAGATTTCTAAAAATAATACAATATTTAAGCAAAGCGTACATATTTTGAAGTTGAAAAACTTTATCAAATTTCTTTTTAAAGTGCAACTACAAATTTTCATATGATAAATAAATTTAGTTATCATTTTGTGATAGCTTTTGCAATTTGTCATTTCCAGATTACAATGCGAAATTCGGAAATTTTATTAATAATAATATTAATAAAATCATGTGGAATTAAACATACAAAAAAATATTGCACAAAGTATCTGACAAAAAATTGGAACAAAATATTTTGAATAGATTATTTATTAATTTTCAGATTATATCTATCAGTTTCTAAAAATTATTTTTTTGTGAATGATTTTTTAACTTCAAATGAATTGCATGCAAATAAAATATTATGTATTATTATTAAGATATATGAAAATCATTCATAAAATCTTGAAGAAACCTAAATTGATGTTTTTAAGATTAATCAATTAAATACCGTATGTTCTTTGAATTTATAGATACTTTTCTCATTTAAAAGTCATAAATTACTACAACATATACTTTAATACTATAGTTCGCACTTACAAAGTGAAACCACCATATAGCTTGTTCAAAATCATTTCAATGTAACATTCATCATCCAATAATCTTGTACTTTTTGCTTAAGTTTATTTTATCAAGGTTCTATATGTTGTTGTTAGTATTAACAATGGTGCACATTAAAAAATGGATGTTATTACATATTATTATGTCTTAAATAAAGTATATATGTGAAAATAATTAAGCTAATTTTTTCAAAAAAAAATTTGGCAACATATTATGCATAAATATTTTTTTGAATATACATTTGAAATTTGAATGTAAATTTGTGTGTATATATGATATTTAGTTTAATTAATTTGATTAGTTGAAATTATTGAAATCATCATTACAGATGACACATACTTTGTTTAAATCTCAGCGAGTTTGGATTAAGAAATGAAAAATCAACACTAGACCCTTTGTTTCAACCATATCAGATTTTTCATTAATATAATATCATTTTACATTTCATATCACTCTTCATCATTAATGATATGAATAATGAAAGTTACATCCTTGCTTCTTCATGATACAATGTTCTTTTGATTGAACGTATAATCAAAAAATATAATTTGGAGACATTGTTGTATCAAATTTATGACATTTTAAATGTCATAAATTTGACTTCAAACACACAAGTCTTTTAAAAAGGTCCTTATATTAATAAAATTATTTTTATAATTTAAATTTTATTTAGAAGGATTCAATGTTTTGATAATGATAATAATATTAAATGGAAAATTTTATATTTTTATAATATAAGTAAAAAAACCTAATGCATAATCAATTTTATGTAACATCAATTATTTTGTAAATTTTATAATATATCTTCTAAATATTATATGAACATAAATTAGAGTTGCTCTTTTTCATTCATACAAAAAAATCATTTGCATGAAAGAGATTTTTTTTCATTTTACAAAATAAGAAAGATTTATTGTTTACCAAATTGTCATATGAGTAATGTTTCTTTCATTTTTTTACTATTTGAGATATATCAATATTACTATATAATACAATATGAGATTTGGCCAATTGCAGAATATCTTTATCAACACTTGGTAAATTTAAGGTTGCTTATTTACATTTATGATTAAATTATTATATGTAAGTAACGTTTCTAACAAATCTGAAATTCTACAAGGCAGTTTTACAATGAAATTCAAATAAAGCATTTAAAGTACATAAAAGAGTTTGTGGTATATGTTGTAACAAAGTATTGATGAACGATGTTGATGATTAGTAGTGCATTATTGATCAATAGATGAGTAATGTATGAAACTAATGTATCAAACAAAAATATTGAATATTAATTCTGTCCAAATTTTTTAAAAAATTTGATGATACATGGAGACAATAATAACATGTTGAAAAACTCTATGTTTGATATTTAGAAAAACCGGCTGTTTTAATGATGTTCTTATTACCTCCTTTTCTTGTTTAAATTTGTGATGTGTTGCTATATAGATAAAGCTTATGTATATTCTATGATTTTCAAAATTAATGTGCAGTTAAAGTAACACACATAATTTTATTTCAAAAATTATGATACTATTAAGAGAAAATGATAAATTGCAATATTGAAAAAACAATGCTTAGTGTTACATTCAACTATATCAATCATATATTTACATGTTCGTAAGAACAATATTATTTCTTTTCAATGTGAAGATAATTGATTCAACATTGACTGCCATCACATATAGTCGATTGTCAAATATTTTAATTCACTGTAAGAAAAACTAATGTGCAATTTTATGAGATACAAATATACAATACATGTATGTGTATAATGATATAGCAAGGTATAAATTTCATGTGATATATATAGGGGGCGGCTAGTTTTTCCTCACACGGGGCTAATCAGCCCTCACCCTCCTATAAGAACGTCATTCATTGGTTCACTAGTGTTATAGGTTCTATGCGGTGAAATTTTTTTTCAAACTTCACTCATACATGCCGCTATATTAGTTAAGGTAAGTGACGTGACTAAGGGTTCTTCAAAGGTCATATGTTTATGGCCGGATCAAAATCGCAGCGAGATTTAATTGCTAACCGGTCACTCTACAACCAGTGAGTTCTGCCATACGAGCTTGTAAAATTCCCCCATGTAGCTTCCTTCTTGCGGATGATAAATTCGTTCGACTTCGTGATACTTTCAAAAGAGCTAATGGTTCAGTTGACCAAGATGCTGGTTTCATAAAGTTGTATGGCTTATACTTGAATCTCACGTTGGGCACACTTGGGAGGTGCCCTTGGTGTCTAATGAACTCTAGAGTCGATCCGCTTTACTGGAGCATGACAATGTAGGCCTGTGAAACTATAAAATGATAGGCACAGATATAATCTAGATTTAGGGAAAAAAAACGTCTTGATAATAAAAACTAGAACTCACAAAGTTTTTTTTTCACCTCACGGATACTATAAACCGAGTGAACCAATGAGTGACGTCCGTATAATAGTATGAGGTCTAATTAGACCTGGGTGAGTTATAACTAGCCGCCCCATATATATAATACATCATATGTGGATGCTTTAAGTTTGGATATTGAAAGTAATGTTCAGTGTATGAAATGTCTTTGGGTATATTTTGTCTGTTTTATTATTGAAGTATGTAGCTATCCAAATGCTCTTTACATTTGCGATCATGTTACATTTATTTCCAAAAAGTTGCCAATTTTCATGAATAAATGTTATTCTGCATAGTATTCAGATAAGTGTGAAAACCTCCGTGTAAAGATTTAATTAAGCTAAACTTGAATCACTTTCATTAAGATAAACTACAGATCACACGGGTACCTTCTTACAACATTATAGGAAACTTAGATCAGAACTTACTTCAAGTGGATGCATTAGAAACCCCAGGGAATTGCATATATTCTTTGTAATCTTTCATCATAGCTTCCTCTCGCTGATAATTACTATACTGACCAACAGGTTAGTATTTTTATCGTTTCAAAACTTACTTCTTTAACAAAATTACCACAGTGCGTTCAGTCCAATTGATGATGTTTGTTCTCAACTCCACTTATCACCAGTACTCATGAGTTGTATGTAATGGAAGTTAGAAGTTCCAGATGAGGATTACAAGATTAATCACAAGAAATACTGGCTGTGGAATATGTGGTGGGAAAGAAGCAGAGATTTTAGCACGACAGAGACCAGCTCTAGCTCTCGTGTTGGTACTGTATTCTTTGGCCTCTGAACTCTAAATTGCTTTGTAATATTGCAGTTGGTTGCCACGAGTTTTTTAATTCCGTTAATTATATTTATTTCTCGCTACGAAAAAAAACGGAAAGCATATGGTATAATCTGCAACACTACAAAATCATGAAGCTAGCGAGGAGGAATAAATGGGGATGAAAAGAAAAGGGAATTTCGGGAAGAGAGCGGAATTGAATAAGGGCTATCGGAATTTACTACGCTCTTAAGAGCAGCAGTAACAGATCCGAGGAGAAGGCGGAATGTAAATGCTAGCGTCTGGATGTCTGTCCGGTAGACACGGCGAGAGGTGTGCAGGAAAATTTCCCTGCCTGCCCTGCCCTGCTCTGCGGGGTCCACCGGCTTTCCCAGTGGCAGCTCAGCTCTCGCTTCATTCTTCCTCGCCTCTCCTCGTTGACCATCAAAAGCATCTGTCCGGTCCCCGCCGCGCGGGCGGGTCCCATGGACCGGAGGGAGCGACGGACGGAGGAACGATCGATCGAGGCAAGCAGCAGCTAGAGCTGCAAGCTAGCTGCTGCCCCTGCCCGCGGGCAGCCCAGACATGGGCTGCCCGTCCTCCGGATCCCGAACCCGCGCAGGAGGACAGCGCTCGGCTGCCCCTCGCTGGGAAATCTCGAACGTGTCGGAGGACACATGCGAATCTGGTCGGACCAGCGTCTCGCTGGAGCCGGAGACGAGCCTCGGAGCCAGCCAGCCCTCAGCCCCTCAGCCCTAGGCCCGGCTGCCAAATTCCTTCCTTCCTTCCTTCTAGACCCCCTCCCTCAACGAAACGAAGAGAACGATCGATCGAGCGAGCGAAGGTATTGTCCTCGCCCTCCTCGACCTATCGGTCGTAGTGGTGGTGGTGGTGGTGGTAGTAGTTCGTCAGACGAGCAGCCGCTGGCAGGCAGGCCAGGACGGGCCGTTCGGGGAGAGAGAGAGACGGGACGGGAGTGGGGACGGAGGACGGGATGGGACGGTGAAAGAAGGGGGAGGAGGAAGGGGAAGGGAGGCATTGATGATGAGGAGTGCGTTGCTTTTCTCTGAACAGTGAGGGGCGGGGGGAAAGAGGGGACGGAAGGGGAGGAAAGGGAGCGCAGGAGGGAGGTAGGAAGGGAGGGAGGGAGGGAGGGAGAGGGGACGGAGCAGCAGAGCAGAGCAGGGCCAGCACCGCCGTCGCGTCGCCGATCGCCAATCCTGGGGGCGCTTGTAGTGGTTGCCGCGCGCGAGAGAGTGTAGCGTAGCGACGAGAGGAGACGAGAGGAGGCGTCAGGCACAAGAGGAAGAAGAAGAAGATAGTCGGAGTGTAGGAAGTGTTGTTGACCGTCTGTTGACGCGTTCAGCAGTGGGCAAGAAACCTTTCTGCTCTTGCTGCCCCGAGAGAGAGAGAGAGAGAGAGGGAGGGAGACACACACACAGACAGCGCGCCCTGTGAGTGAGTGAGTGAGTGAGTGAGGAGGGAGAGAGGATTGCAGGAATCAAACCCCACGAGAGAGAGAGTGTAATCTCTGGGTGATGTTTTGACTCGCACGACGGGTAGGGAGTGAGGAAGTAATCGGGCGTTGAAAGTGGGGCGCTGGTGGAGCAATTGGGGGACAGCAAGTGGGCGAGGGGGAGAAAAGGGAGAGACGAGCGTAGTCATGACGGGAGGAATTGCGATCTCTGGTGGTATGATTCGGGAGCGCGGAACAAGCCAGCCGGAAAGCATTGTCGTTCCGTGTGCGCGCTGAAAAATCTGGACATTTGGGCGACGGGTGTCGGGGGCAGTGCAGCGGATTGCACGCGCACGCGCACGCGGTCGAACCTGACGGCTGGGTGCGAATTGAGTGCGATGTGGGCTCAATGCTGTTGAATGAAGAAGATTTGACAACTGGGAAGCTGCGTTGCATATATACCTTGTGAATTCGTCTGTCAGTGTCGACGATGTCCTCTGGCGTGTAGACCACCGCTCGTGTATGTTCATTAAGAAATCGATCACCGAGAAAACTCGATCAGTGGACGAACCGCAGAGCAGCAGGTCTGTTTCTTGACCAGGCGGGAAGCTTGACCTCCTGTTCCTTACAGGGCTGACTCCGACGCTTTCGGAGGAGAGCCAGGGAGTGGATGACTTGACGACGGCCGCGAGGATACGGAGGACTTGAGAGGAAAGCGAGAGGTTTCGACAGTTTACGAAGGCAATGCGCAGGACCAGGGGACGCTCGTAAATTGCAGGAGGAGTGGAACATGGGCTGTTTCTTTCCAAAAAACAAGAGCAAAGTCGCGCAGGCGGATCATCAGTATGGGTCAAAATCTGACCATATGTCGAACAACAAGCCGGTGGTGCTGCCCGACCCTCACAACATCTCCAGAGAACAGCCCTCGAGGGCTTCACCGAGGAGCAATCGAGTTAAGAAAGGGGGAAAGGGAGGGAATGACTCCATTAGCCCAACAGGAAGTGGCAGCAACTCCTCATCCAGATTGAATGTTCAGTTTCCTCGTACTTTGTCTGCTCCTCACGACTACAGCTTTGAGGATCCTGCCGGTGGCAATGTCGATGGTTCTAGCTCTGCAGCCAGTGCTACTCCGTTCTCAGCACCTCTGCCTTCGCGTCCTCCTCCTCTGGATATATCGTCTTCTCCTTCAATCGTTACCAACTCTGCACCTCTGACATACGGATCCTCACCTCTCTGCTGCGGTATCCCTACAACTGTCGACTCATCAGCAGAGTTGAGAAATGCATTGCTCGAGAAGAAGTCGTCATCGTTCAACGACAAGAAGAGTTTTGGAGGCCGCCCAGTCCGTCTTCCCAAACCCCAAACCGGAGGACATCCGTTGCCTCTTCCATACTCTCCTGATCGTTCGGAAGCGGGGAGCTTCGTGCTGTCTTCAGTTCTCGCTTCACCAATTGGCGCCTCGCCGAGTCCTAGCCGAGGTCGAGATGGATACGGCCCATACAGCCACGCCTTCAGGGCTTTGTCCATGGGAGGACATAATCCTATGGATGCCAAGCCACTACCACCTCCAGCTCTCCCCACCGAAAGCCGAAGTCCAGTACGTGGATTCTCGTTTGCCGAGCTCGCGCAGTCATTTTCACCCGAGTTTATGCTGGGCGATGGCGTGTTCGGAACAGCCTACCGAGCCTGGGTCGATGATGGAGAAAACAAGAAGATCGAAGTGGCTGTTGTCTGTCCTGTTTTAAAATCGCTTCAGGTATACCACCGAGAGAAGCTATCTGCGTTCCTCGCATATAGTTCACTTTATACGAGAAGAATAAAACACTTTCTTTCTTCTCTTTTTTGCACTGCACTGTCGAAGTGGTCCGGGGTCTGTATTATTATTTTATTTTATTTTTCTGCACCCATGATTCTGCCTTTTCTGGCTGTGAGTGTACCGACGTCTCTTGAACTTGAGATTAGCACGATTTTCTCTTCAAGCAACACCTGTTAGGGGTGTAGCTCGTGCTGAACACGCTTTTCACCCGATACTAAGCCCCTGTCATCGACTGATGGAACACGAAGCGTTTAGTACTGGTGATTGCACTACTTAGCAATGTCTGCCACCAAATTTTTCGAAGTGAGTTCCCATTGGCGATTGTTTCCAGATTCTTGTCGGTCTAAACTGGAAATGTACTCAGTAATCTTGTCCTATGCGGATGCGTTTTTTTTAATCTACAGGGACCGAAGGAATGGATGGCTGAAGTCAATTGGCTAGCGCGACTTCAAGATCCTCGTTTGTGCAAGTTAATCGGGTACTGCGCTGACGAGTCTGCAAGCCAGGATGGTGAAGTTGTTCCTAGGGGTAGTAGGCGCCTTTTGGTATACGAGTATCTGTGTAATGGAAGTTTGGAGAAATATCTCAAGGGCAAGGCGGGTCGGCAGTTGGAGTGGTCGACAAGAATGAAAATCGCACTGGACGTTGCTCAGGGCCTGGCTTATCTTCACGACAAGGCTCCATTCCAGGTGAGTTTGCGACATCTTCAAGCATCGCTTGTTTTGATAATGTTGTCATAATACACTCGGGAGTTTTCATTACTTTACCCATCTTTTTCTTCTGTCCTTCAAAGCTTCCAGCTTACACGACCTGCATTTGTCATATGGACAGGTCATATGTAGAGATCTGAGTCCTGCCACCATTCAGCTGGACAAGGATTTCAGGGCAAAGGTATCTGGTTTTGGATTGGCTCGCTGCGGGCCTGAGGGTGACCAAGCTTCTCCCATGGTAATGCACCACGACCTCGTGTCATCGATCTTCAGATTTTCTTCTGTTTGCCAGAGTATGAATATTTGGGTGAGTCCTTGAATATGAGTTATCGTCTGTCTATCGTCTTTAATCGGAAGTGCTCAGCTGGCGTCATTTTGTTCGCCGTTCGTTTTGCCACAACTGTCATAGGTCTTGGGAAGTTGATTGCCTCTCTGGCTATCTATGTTTCGCTACAAAACTTACATGTGCTTCGTTCAATTAAAATGTAAATTGTCTGTTCCATCTTTGTCTGCAGGCTGGACCATATGCTGCGCCCGAGTCGGGCCTGAATGGTGTCGTCACCCTTAAGAGTAATGCCTGGAGTTTCGGAGTCATACTGTTGGAACTACTCACCGGCCGGAGACACATGGATCCAATTCATGCTAAGGAGCAACAGAATCTGGTACAGCTTACGAAGCCATTTTTGAGGGACGAAGGCAAGCTCTTCCTCATTGTCGACCCGGACCTAAACGGTAGATATTCTTTACGAGGAGCTCTCAAATTGGCAAATTTGGCCTTCCAATGTCTACAGAAGGAAGCTTCTTTGCGGCCTAGTTTGAGTGAAGCCATGGAGGTGCTGAGAACTGTTCAAGTGGACGAAGATGCAGTGGCTGCGGATCTGAAAAAGAGTCGCTCCTTCTCTCAGTCGATGACCTCTCCAGTTAGCTACTCCAGGTCGACGTCGGATATCCTTCTGAGATATAGCAACGAAGGGAAGAATTCTGGTGAGCTCAAACAGCTGAGGGATCGGGAGGTTTCGAAGACAACTGCACCTGGTTCCGTAGGCTCAAGCCCTTCTTACAGCGAACTAAGGCAGGCAGGGGACGTGAAGCAGCGTGAGCGAGACTTTCAAAGGGTGGCCCTGCAAATTGGTCTAGGAGCAAGTCCTGCCAAAAGCGATTCCATGGGGCAATTGAATGAATCGAAGCAGCAAGAGCGGGAGCCGCCAAGGTTACCCACACTCGCACAGCCCTTACCCGTGAATGACGCAAAGAAGCAGCTGCCGGACTCCAAACAAATAGAGCGTGAGCTTCGGAAACTGGCCGGAGGTTCAAGGCTCGCCAGCCAAGTCAAGCTTAGCAACCACGACGCTCAAAAGCTACCTACACCCCATCTCATTGACTCGATCCAGCCAGTGGACTCTACTAAGCAGCACGGCCAGGAGGCTCAGAAGCTTCCGTCACCTGCCCAGCCCCTCCAACATGTAGAATCTAGCGAGAAGAAAGAGCAGGCTTCGGAAGCTGGGAGCTTCCCCACTCCCGCAGGGGCTCTCGAAGAGCCCCGGCGATCCAACGAGATGCAGGACGATCCAGAGACTTCGACTATCCCGGACACGTCTGTCCAGTCGATCGAGGGCAAGCCTGATGCTCTCGACTCTCTCCAGCCGACGACCACCTCAGTGTCGTCGAACCAGCAAGTGCCAGAGGTTCAAAAGTCTGCACGTCCCTCGTCGGGTTCTCGAGCATCGTGTGCCCCGGCCCTCACTTTCGATCCCCCAATGCTCAGGGAGGCATTTTGAACTTGGTTTGAGTAGTATCATCTTAAGCCCTATTTTTTTAACTTGTATGTATTGGGTCTTGAGGTAGATAGCTGCCAGTATCGATTTTTCATTCGAACTGGGGAGGAGGAGGCTTTCTCCTCCGCAGGCATGTAAGTTTAGAAGTTATTCACAATCCATCATTCAGCTGAGAGAGGGTATGTGAGCTCATCTCGAGCTTGAATCACACCAATAGGGGTCTCTAGACGATCACGGCTGTTGATCATCTGTACTCCAGGATGAGTGCACTTGCAAATTCGGACTCGGGATGATTTGAACTGTACAATACTTAAAATTTCACGTCCTTGAACGTGTTCATTGTAAAATCTCTACTCATGTATGTTGGTTGACTCTCTTTGCATGTTGAGATAAAGTTTGTTTTCTCTACCTAAACCCACACGACCGGAATATGAAACTTAAACGTCCTAGAATGAAGTGAAATTTGAAGAAAGGAGTTGGCGATCCTTTCTGCTCTGTGTATGCTCCTAGCTCCAGTCTGCAGAAGCCCGCGAGTGAACAAATTCGCGGCAATTCGAGCCCATGGTTCCAACTACATGCGAACACGTGTCTTAATCAGCGGCTGCGCATGTGAACTCCGGTCAGATACGGATCCCCTCCCCCTCCCGGCAAATCCACGAGGAGCTTCAGAGTCCAGTCACTCCACCTGACGGCCAGTTCACTGGCTCAGTTGACTTCAATTTCTCGAGAGCTGCCTTGTCATAGGAAGGCTTTAACAGTTGTCCTTGAACTCTTGTCTCTTGTGCTGTCCCTCGCGGTGTCCATCATGTTGTCCAACTGTCGTTTTGGGAAAAATGTCCTTCCCCTCCCCCTGCCAGACAGAGACTTGAGGCCTTACGCGGCAAGAATGCCGTCAGCAGCAACACTTCTGAAGGAGTACCTTTTTCAACACCCAAAGATCGGGATGGGACAGTACGGCTGCTGCGGGATGAAATGTTTTCTTTGGATGGAATGAACAATGCCCACATATATACACACATACGCATCCAGGGCGGAGGAATCGCCCTGGATGCCCTCGCTCGCTCGAGGTGAATCAAATAGAGATACCCACAGTTTGTCGCTGGTGAAGAATGCTCGTTACTCATGTCGACGAAAAAGTCAAGGCTGAATTCTTCAACGTGGCCGTGCAAAGTCGAGCCCCATCCCCTGCTTAGGATCCTAGTCGCGTAGATTAGATCAGGAGCATGGCAGTATAAAATCCAAACACGAAATATTTTTTCCCGAGGACTTGACTTCCTAGTTCGGTCTGGACTAGGAATGGTCGTCGAGGATAAATGTAGCTGCAAATTCGTAGGTTTGCCCTACCACCAGATGCGGGAGGGTTTTGATTCCCTCGGCCCGAGACATGGCGACATGGAGGAGGATGTTCGGGCAGGGTTGCAGACTCGCCTTGGCCCCTCGAGTCTATCCGGAATCGTCTTCACTCGGAGCAGAGCATTGTCACCGGAATTGACATCTGTGTCACGGCTTGTTGACAAACGAGGCCTGGTTGGCAGGAGCAGATTGCATAAAGACTGCCGGTGGACTTTGATGACATTCCAACCCTCGAAGGGATCGCACACAACTCACCGTCCTTTCTCGTGCAGGGGCTGCAGAGGGGCTGTCGAGACGCTGGTTCGGTCGTTTGTTTGTTTGCTGTTTAGTGCATCGAAGGCATATGTGCGAAAAGTATGACATGAAGTAGAGGTAGCACATGTGCAAACCTACTTTATTTCCTAGCCCAATGAAAAGGCTCCTGTACCTCTTGCTCAGGTGACCCCCCATGTAATCAACTTGACGATGCACCAGGCCCTGAAGCGTGGGATCTGAAGGTCTGGGCGTGATCGGCGATTTCCTGGACGTGATTCGTGAGACATAGCCAAGGGGTCGTTGATATGGGACAGCTCTGACCCATTCGACGATCTCGTCCGAACTGCCGTCCGTCGTCGTCCCAGTGCTTTAAGAGTTTGGTAAAAAGCCTGCGCTCGAGACTGGCTACCCACTCCGGAGTGGCGTTGATAGTTTCCGGAATATCCCCACCTCCTGAGTGCAGATGCGGCCCCAGCGTGACTTGCAGGTCGTGCTACGTCCAGCCTTTTAGTCCTCCGCAAGCTTGACAGAGCATGTCAACTGGCCTGACGGCCCGAGATGCAGTTTGTTGCGAGTGTCCCGGTGCTTCAATAGTTCGCAGGGGTGAAACGAAAAAGTCATCTAACACTGGTCACACACGCCTCTCTGCATTCTCGGGCGATCAATCACTCGAGTCGTCTTGTGAGAGTGAATCACGGTAGCGGTAATCACGACCCTGCAAGGAAGGGAGCAGCACCCCCATGCCTCCAAAATCACCCTGATTCTTACCCTCTTACAGGCGCCAAGGACCTACGTGCAAATCATGGCATTTGATCTGGCTCCTACTTTGTTATCCAAAAACCTTCAATCTTCTTCGTGCAGGTCCGGTGGTCTTCTGACGGGAAGTAGCTGGTCTCTTCAGCAGAAAGTGGACAGAATAGTTCTGTGAACGTGCGGTAAAATAACGAAGGGAAAACGAAGGGAAAGCAAGTGCAAGTGAATTGTTCACGACCTGGTTTTTACCCGGAGGTGATCGGAACATCTACATGTAGGGTTCCAAAAGCTGCCGTGATATGTTCATTGTCAGGAACTGTTATGACCGCAGAGTTTCAGCGATATCTTTTAAGCTAGTCCTGAGCTTTTGAAAATAGTCTAGTAAGAGGACATCAAACGGAATTTAAAAGCATGTGGGTGGGCACCTTTTGCAGTCAAGGAATTATTTATCCAAAAACTATGATACAGGAGAACTGGTACATTTTGGAAATCATATGCTTCTCGTTTACAATTCCTTTTCCATTACACATCATGGCTACCTGTTCTATCAGACCTTTTGCCACCATATCTGGAAAAGGAGCAGGCATACCTATGACTGCTTTCGCTACGAATTCGACATTACCTACATTTCTACGTCGACAGAACTCCTGGATTCCATAAGACACAGCTCTCTGAGGCCAACATTCTAGAGTTTAGAGCGATACTAAGGGAAATTCACTTTTGACACATAAATTTCTCACCTAGTGGTAGCTTAGATAGCAAAGAGGGATGTCATGCCAGGGAGCCTGCAATGTGCGTACGTAATTTCGTTACTATTCGCTGAGTGGATCAGTTCCAACGAAGGTTACAAAACGATGGGTCCCAGCCTGCTGTAATTACAGGGTTGTCGGTGTAGTGAGCTTTACACCTGATGCCGAGTCAAGCACATCATACTTCGAGAGCTCGACGCTGTTCACTTTTGCGAACAAAGCCGTCGAATCTTCTCCTTTACTCGGGTCTAGTCCTCATCTTAGATTTGTCCTCCCCATCCGCCTCTCAAAATGTATGTAATTTACTAAAGTATGTTCGCACCTGCTGCAAGAAGCGATAGATCTTCAGAATAATCCAGTCCTGATTTTCTTTCTTAATCGAGATCAAGATTGTGGTCTAGTCCGATGTCGCGTAGCTCTAGATGCAACAGTCCGAAGGTTAGCAGCAGCCAAAGCCACAGTGCCGCCATATCTTGGCCGATTATGGTTCCAACTTCTGGTATATGCAGCTTGTCTTGGCTCTTCAAGGGGAGCCTCCTCCACACGAGAACCCATCATGAGCTCTGCTTGCTGTAATCTAGCAGCTAAAGCTGCATCAACCTGTTCCTGCCTGGCTCGCCTGATCCTCCCACTTCTACTTTGGCTTCTCTGGGATGCGATCTCCTGTTGAGAGACAGGGCCACTTGAGGTGCTTACGTGTCTCACTTCGTCGTCGCCACGCCTTGTTGATCCTATTTCCCTATCGTCACCTATGAACTGAGCAGCTGCCTGAAAAGAGCTCCTCAAAGTTCCCATCACGCTAATTCTGTTCACGGTTGACGAAAACGCCGAACTTGAGCTACGCCACGGCTGCAATCTTGATGGCCTAACACCGAGACTGCCGTTGCCATTCTTGGCGACTAAACCGGCTTCCTCCTCCTGATCTTGCTGCGTTTGCTTATCTGTCTGTCTCGCCGCACATTCTTGGGGAAAAAGAATTTGGATGGTGTTCCAAAGTACTGTGTTGATGCGACAGCTCCTCAAAGTCTCGCTCCTGCGTAGCCATTGCAACTGTCACAATCCGATTCTCTCCACACCGCAATATGACCTAGACTAATGCTCTAGACTTCAAAATCATCGAATTCCGATCGAAATAAAGGAATCCTCTGAGGAGAAATCGATTCCACACTCAAGGCAGGCCTTACATGTGCTCCTCTGATGGTCAAGAATTACTTCTAGGTATATGCATCAATTTATACCGCTGCCACGGATTGCATCCATGGAGACAGTTGACATCTGGCCATGCTAGTAAAGGTGAAACTGACAAAAGGTGAAGGAGGTGTACCGTAAAGGCTGACGGCATTTTGGACATTTTGGTCCACACATCTTCAGTACAGATTGCAAGCATGTTCCACAGAAGCTACACGCAACACAGCGAAATCGTGTTCCAATGTCAGGGGTTGCAGGGTGCAGTTTCTGGAAAGCACAACCAACAGACAGAACTCAAGAGTGTACGGTGAAGGGAGGGTCTAAGTAACTGTCGGATCTGGAGAAGAAGATTTATACCTGTGACCACAAGATATCGTCGAAGGCTCGAAACAAATGTCTAGGCAAACCTGCATGAGGTTCAGTAAACAGAATTAGTAAGGGACGATTCTAATTATGAAACTCGTACCTTACTCGAACGTCGGCCCCTCAGAGTTTGTCTATCCTGCAAGTTTTAGACTGTTGAGCACTTCATGCACGACTAAATTGAAAGGAAATTAACTGCAGGTATAGGCATCTTACAGCACAAGACAACTCTTCTCGCAGCTGATCCATGTAGGGCGGCTTCGTTGGAGTTTTCTCTTTCATTGGAGTTTTCTCCTTGAGCTTTCCTTTTGACTCTGAGTTCTTTCTCCCCATGGACGTGCCAGGAACCATGTTCTCTTTGTCTCGTTTCGCTGCACGCTCGACAATACCTTGGAAATGTTAATCACCGTACGAACTTCTATTCTTTCTTACAGGATGGGAAGTAAATTCAAAGGTGTTAGAGGTCTTTTCTTTTGGGATGAGGTCTGCTTATTAAAGAGCCTAATAAGTCCTCACTCTAGTGTTGATTCAGGGCTCGTACAGTTAAGTTTCTGCACTTGCAATATCGACAGAAGAGACGTAGAAAGCAGAAATATGACATGGATCTCTCTGGTAAAGCAAAGCCTTTTTAGCTTCTACTGAGTTGATGTAAGTCATTTCAATGCGTCTCAAATTGCAAAACGAAGGGACAGTAATCGAAATTTGCCGATGAAAAAGCTTCCATGACTGCATCATTCGATAACGTTCACAACCCTGAACATAAGCCAATGCCCTCCATCCCAAGATTCCCGTGGGACATTCCCACTTAATGGCATCGGCTTTGCAGAGCAGACATCCAAGCTTGAAGGGAAGGAAGATATACAGCGAACAAATTGAAAAAAAACGGATGTTCAACGTGAACACGACGGGCAATATGGGGAGTGCTGAGCTCAGCATGTAGAAGCCGGCCAAGTACTCACCTGAGGACGAGCAGTGACAATTTTCTTCCTCAACATTGTTACTGCCCTTGTCACTATCCGAGAGAAGTGGGAGAGCTTTCATGGGAACTCGTACTAACGGACTTCCGTTGTTACCATGCCAGCGAACCCTTCTGTGCCTGAAAAGAATGCAAATCAATTGTCGATTCAGTTATTGACCAATTGCGCAGTTTGACAGTTGTGGACTGGCGTGCATGTGAGGTTCATGAGAACACTTTCCTGCCTATCAAATTACACAGAGCAAGTATCTCAAGTCCGGTACCTTCTGGCAGAACTCAAGGGGGTACGTTTGTCTCGCTTTCGATCACGACAGACTGGACTATCAGGGACTGCACAGGGTGGTTCACATTCATCGACATTTTGGGGACCCGTAGCAACTGCTGGGCTCTGGTTGAGCGCAGCCATCATTAAGGCCTCGTCATCCCACCCTGCCATAGCAGCAACCGATCGGAAACCCGGGCTCAACAAAGCAGCTCCCTCGGAAGAATCAGCAGGAGCCTCAGGATGGGGCTCGCCACTAAGAGTCACGAAGCTCCCTCCGACCTCAGCTGCAGAATCATCTTCGTCCTCTTTACTTACACCCTGTTGACTGCTGGCAGTGGTCTCACTGCCTTCCGGTTGTCTTCCAACAGAGCCCTGGTCAGAACTCATCCCAAGCGAAGTTCTCTCGAATTGGTGACTCAAATTGACGCCTACGACATCTCGTCTTGCCGTGTGCATGGGTGGAAGCACGTCATCTATGCACTCGCACTCCTTGCAAACAATTCCACCTATGATGAAAAATCTTTCCTCCTCCGGCTATCCCGCCCCGCTCAAAACTCATCAGGCGACCCGGCGTCGATGATCACTCACTCACTGGCTCACTCGCCGGCAATGACGATCAGAAAGCTGATCAGAACAAAAATCCTCCAGTCTTTGCAGACAATGGATTCCTTCAGAACCTTGGATAGTACCACGAGACTGAAATCAAACATCTGTCGAACCGTTCGCTCTATCAACCAGCTTCAAGTCTGTCTGTCTCTCGATCGATCGATCAATCCGCAGCGGCGGCAGCAGCAGAAGGAGGAGGAGGCTGAATGATCGTCGGTCAGTGCAATCCTCGGAATACGTATACACTCCCCTGCCCTGCCCGCCGCTCCTCACTCGCGCTCGGGGACTCGAAGAAGCGGGACGAACTCAAATTCGATTCGAGAAAGATTACAATAATCGAATGTCGCCAACGTTCCACCCTCCCCGTTCCCCTGCTGCAAGCATTGTTTCCAAGATGATGACGATGACCAGACGCGCCCGATCAGAATTCAAATCGCAGTCGAACAGAACCTCCCGTCCGTCCGTCCGTCCGACCGTCCGTCGCTGCAGAATTCTGAATGTCATCGATCTGGACGACGGAAGGAGGGTGGCAAAGTGTCTTACCCTCTGGACAACGACAACGACGACATCCACAACCACCAACGTTCCGAACGGTCGCCGCCGCTCTCCGCTTACGCAAGGTGTAGATCCCGCCATTCTACACCGTACCGGTCTTTTGAACTCCAACGTCAGTCTCGTTGCCCCGGTACCGGATGACCCGGTCGCCGTCGGAGGAAGCTCGTACAGAGTTAAGAGGTTCTTGTACGTCGTCACCGAAAGGGATAATGGCTTTCCCGCTGAAACTCAATGATTCCAGTTACTATAAATTATTGCATCCGGCTTTTTATTGGCCGGGCTGTACAGGGTCAGACTAAAGGCGACCCGTACTTCTCGACATCCTTCTTTTGTTATTCACTTGGCCCGTCTTCCACTTTTAGCATCGTTGGGAGAATCTATCGGAATTGGTGGGGTTCTACTGTATTTAATAGGTATTTCGATTGTACTCTGGCACCCTCCTGCTCTTAGAGAGAAGGCAGAAAGGCACGGTAGAGCTCCACAGTCGTCGTTCCCTGCAAAGTCGTGGTAGGATTGGGTTATATAACATGGGTACTTCGATTGTGCCATGACAGTCTCCTGCTCTTAGAGAGAAGGAAGAAAGTCACGGTAGATCTGCACAGCCTACGTTTCCTGCAATCAGAGGGTAGGGATGGTGGCAAAATGGATGGCTCGTTAGACAACATACTCCATTTCTGGGAGACAGGCCGCACAGGAACGGCGGCCTCTGCCTACTTTCGTCATCGCCATGCGTCTGCCGGGAGTCGAACCCGGGTCTATTGCTTGGAAGGCAATTATCCTAACCGTTGGACTACAAACGCTTGATGCAAATTTATTTTACACAGCTATTATAATTGTTACAGTTAACAAGAAATGTGAGATGAAATGTAAAGTTCACTCTAATCTCCATTGATAAGGTTTTTACTCTGTTTCAAATACAAGAGTCTTAGCAGAATAACCTGTGGTTACTGGTTAATGTCAGCGCAATGAATGTTTTCAAGTCACAACAACCTTTCTAAATGCAGAGTTAAACCTTCCAGTAATATCATTTTCCATGAGTGACATTCTCTTGTTAGTGATATTAAAATATAGAAGCATTAGTTTGTAACTTGTAGATTGATCCAACAATGACAAGATGTCACTATTAGCAACAATGACATGATAATATTCAATAGTGATAATGTCGAACTACAATTCCTATCATAATTATAATAAGTATCAAAATGGGAATCAAATAGAATTATCTTGAAAGTTCCAAAATAATTGGAACTCATCAAATCAAAAGCTCGCACAGTCTCATTTAAAGATGAACTCACGATAGCACAAATTCCAAAAAGCAAGAGAACTCCAGTGACAACATTTGTGTGCTCCATGAAAGTTACAAAACACACAGATGTTGAATTGTTTCAAACCTAAACAGCGAAATGAACCAATTATCAAATTATGGAAAAATCTTGTCCAAATTTCAAACTAAAAATAATTCCTCATACACAACCATTGAGAAACGATTACTGGAAGTGAGATGAAGATGAGTACAAATTACTCTAAAAAAAGTCATCAAAGCTTCATTAGACAAATCGCACCTTTAGTTTATTGTCTTGTGCATCAATGGCCAAAAGTTGTGAATCAAGAGAGTATGAGACACAATTAACATCAAAGCTAATGATCCAGCTACTTCAAAATATAGGTTTTTTATTGCCACTCCCATATTAGTAGCTGATTTAGTTTTGCGCATTCAATTGCTAGCCAACAAATGAAGACATATCAAGCTTGACATCGCTTAAAGACAAGTGAATTTGAGAAAATGGCTTATAGTCTAATGGCAAATGTTTCACATCTAGTAATCTTTCTAGTTCAAATTTCTAAGAGCAAGAAATCTCAAATCATTAGATGTTTCATTCTTTCTTGTCTCCAATGATAAAAATCATATTGTCTATTGTTTTAGAAATCTAACTTCATCATATTTTTGCTGATGCATCAATGAACAAAAAGTTTTTTGGAGGTTGGAAAGCAAATTACACTGAAGTTCTGTCAATAAAAATGACTTAAGAAAAAAAAGTTGATCAAATCAATGATTGTTCGATTGTAACACTCGGATTTAGAGAGAAGCTCACTCGAAGATAGAAACGTAAACTCTAAAGATGAGAGATACCAACAATGGTACTCCTCTCCTTTATATAGCTCTCACCAACAAGTACAAGGAGATAATATCTGATTTCCACCATCCATCCCACTCATAGTGGATGGATGACGTGGAGGATAACCCTAACAAGTACATATATCGTTGACGTGGCGCTCCCAACTAACACATTCAATCCTTACAAGCACACGGATTGCTGACGTGGCAGCTATGACTAGTGCACACTAAAGTATCTAGATCAACACTTGGAGTACCCTCTACTTTAATTCTAATTAACTAAAGATGGTTACAAACCTTCATCCTTTTAAGATGCAACGTCCTCGTTGCACATACGTTCAAACTTCTGAACTATCAAAGATGCATTTGCTAAGTTTTAAGTTGGTTCTCAAGTTGATTCATTCGATGAATAGACTTTTCATTGAATCAAATACTCTACTTTGGGATATTTATGACCCCGAATACGTTCATTGAGTATCTTTTCTACCTCAAACTCCTCATGATCTGCTATCAAAGTTGGAAGAGGAGGTGATGTTGGTTCGTTGGTGAATTGTTTTGGTCGTGATACATGTTTTTGCAATCGTGACGCATGAAATACTGGATGTATTTCAATATGTAACGGAAGTTCCAACTTGTATCACACTTCACCAACACGCTTCAAAATAAAAAATGTACCAATAAACCTAGGGTTCAATTGTTGTGTTCTTACAAGAGACAAATTTGTTTTAGATAACCAAACATGATTTCCTACCTCAAAACCGGTTCTCTACTATGAACATCGGCATGCTGCTCTTGCCGATTTTGAGCTATCACCAAGTTCTCCTTGGCTGGATGTAGTACTTGGTAAATATGTTCCACAAATTCATTGACTATTGCAACTTCGATCTAAAACTCCTCTCCTTTGGAAAGTCTCATCAAACTTGAAGTAGTTATAGGATGAGTTCCATACATAAAAAAAAATGAACACACTTTTGTGGATGCATTAACAAAATTGTTATATGCAAATTCCACAAGTGGCAAAAGTTTGTTCAACTCTTCTTGCTCTTCTAATGTGAATGCTCATAGCATATCCTCTATGGTTTTATTTGCCCTCTCCGTTTGTCTGTCAATTTAAGTATGATAGGCTGTTGACATTGCTAGTTTTGTTTTGAAAAAAATAAGCAAAGTTTTCCAAAATAAACTAGTGAAGTGAGTACCTCTATCTGTGATTAACACTTTGCTTAAGCCATGATTCACAAAAACTGCATCTAGATACAATTGAGTTAGTTGTGGAGCTGTTATTGTTTTTGTGGTTGGCCTGATGTGAATCATCTTGCTCAATTTGTCCACAAAAACCACCACTAAATCATGTCCTAACAAAGTCTTTGGTAACACACATACAAAATCCATGATGACATGTTCCCACCGCTGTTCGAGGATAGGAAGAGGTTGTAATAAACCCGCTGGTTTTTTATTATTTGCCTTGTTTTGTTGAAAAGCAACACCATTTTGATCATAAGACTCAACATCCTCACGTATTTTAGGCCAATAGTACACTCGTTGTATATTCTCCCTGGTTTTCTCCACTCCCACATGACCTACAATGGATGTGTCATGGCTTTCGGCCAAAATCATTGTGTGCAAATTTTGATCTTGTGGAATCCATATACTTTGATTGTAGAACGTCAACCTCAAGATTTCTCTACCTTTTCAGTTTGTAGTGCCCGATCACATCCTTTGTGGCTTGTGTCATCTTGCTCCACAAATCAGCCTAAATTTTCACTTTTGCAACGTGATTTAAACAAGACATGCATGTGAGAGCATTTGCAAGTTGCTTCTTCCCTCCAAGTACACAATCTTCATGTTGAAGCGTTGACGCCACTCTGCCCATCGAATTTGTCGTTTGGACATATACTTCTGAGTTTCCAAATAAACCAAGGTTTATGATCAGTCTTCACCACAAACTCCTTATCACCCAAGTAATGCTTCAAATGTTTAGTTGCCAACACAATGGTTAACTCCTTCAGTTCTGTTGTGTGATAATTTTGTTCCGCCACCAACTTTCAAGAATAGAAAGCAACTGGATGTCATCTATCCTCCCATTCTTGTTGAAGTATGTTACATACTATTTTACCTTATGCGTTAGTAGCCAACTTCATAGAACGGGTAGTATCAAATCACTTGAGAATAGATGTGTGTAACAAAGCATATTTCAATGCTTGAAAAACTAACTCTTGAGTTGTTCCTCATCTCCATTTTTGACCTTCCCTAACATGGAAATTAAGGCCTTAGCTAGTCGAGCAAAACCTTTCACAAATCTACGATGGAATCCAGTGAGTCATAGAGAACTCTTCAATTGAGTTTGATACTTAGGTGTTGTCCAAATCTGAATGACATCTATCTTCTCACTTATCATTTGGATTTTTGCGGCTGTAACTCTATGACCCAAGTAATCTACTTCTGACTTGCCAAATTCACATTTTGAAGCTTTGACATACAATTGATTGTCTTTCAAAACTTGAAATAGCTCTCGTAAATGACTTTTACTTCTATGATCACTCAAAGTTTTGCTATACAACAATATATCTTATAGAAAAACAATGATAGATCTATCTAAATAAGGGCAAAAGATATCGTTCATCAATTCCATGAATGTAGCTGGTGCATTAATGGGACCAAAAAGTATCACTAAATAGTCAAAGTGTTCATATTTAGTACGAAAAGCTGTCTTGTGCACATCTTCATCTGCAATTAGAATTGGATTGTAGTCGCTTATCAAATCTAGCTTGGTGAAGTACTTCGCTCCTTGAAGTTGATCAAACAAATCATCCATACGAGGTAATGGATATTTTTTTTCACCGTTTGTTGATTCAACGCGCGATAATAGAT